ACATCAAGGCAATTGGTGACTTGAAAGAGTGAATAGAAATGGTCCGGGTGGGGTCCAGCCTCATGAGGGATCTATGCCAGGAGATAATTGAAGCCAGTTTAGCATGCCAGAGCGACATCTACCTTACCTAGAGGGCTGTAGTGGTATTTTTCCACAACTTCCACCTGATAGGCCTCGGATTCCAGATAGCTGAGGCAACCCTGTAAAGCCTGCATTTCAGTAAGAGATGATTCCTATTGAATCTCACCCTACAATGCCACTTGAGCCTCCTTCTTCTTCAGCTTCTCATGGGCATCCACCTACTCCTTTAGCTGGTGCTGGAGGCTCTCGACACTTTGGCGAGCTAGCCGAGCCCGCTCAAAAGCAATCTGACCTCCCGCCTTTTGACCATGAGCTCATCTTCCAAGTATTTAACTTAGTCGTCCCTCTCATGCATCTCGTGCTGGAGATGACCGATGTCTTCCTTGAGCTTATCAATAGTACCCGACTTTTTGCTTCTATGCGCCTTGAGCTCCTCAAGCATCTTTTCCCCAGTGTCCAACTCTCAGCACCATTTGCTATCGCTCCACTTCCAAGCAGCCAGCTCAACCTCCATTGCAGAGACTTTATTCTCGGCCTCTTCCCGAGCAGCCCTCTCAGCCTCCAACACCTCTTGGAATTTAATGTGGATGTCTTGCGCGTGCATGAGTTGAGAGAACAACTCTTGCTCGACTAGAGCCCCTCACATTAAATAGCCCTTGAGGGATTGGCCGAGGTCGACATTGGGCATTCCCAAGAGGATTTTGTCATCCTGAGGGAGGTAGAACTGATCCAGAGCCTGAGAGTGGGTGATTTGAGACTTGAAGACCAAGCTCCCCTCGTCAAGACGTCACTTGGGAGTAAATCTGTACTTCTCAGATGGCTCCCTGTCATGCTGGGAGTCATCCCTGGATGACCCCATCATCATCATCTTTAACTCTCTCCACACATTAGGGTCGAGCTCATCGATACGATGGTGGAAAGTCCATTGAAGGCCACCTTTGGAGCTGGAGATGCCTTGGCGATTGTCGACTCCTCTGTGGGCACATGAGGTTGGATTGCCTCCTTGGCTGCTGTTGATTCCTCAATAGGCTCCTTGCACTGTCTATGGGCCGACTTAGTCGGAGGAGGATAGACTGTTTCCTCCTCAACTTGGACATTAGCCTCAGTAGACTCAACAACCCCCTGCTCTCCCCCTTTAACTGGAGCGGGGGACTCCTCATTAAGGACTAAGACAACCTCGGACGACTCGATGTGAGGGATTCTTAGAGCAGAAGGAGGATGTTGGCTGACTTCCTAGACCGAGATAGAAGCAACTGCCTCTGCTACTTCTCCCACACTAGCTTGAGTTGGCTCGGTAGTCCCAGAAGGTCCTCGTCTACTCACCTTACACAGCATTCTCCTCTTCTTCTCAGACCTCTCGGCCTGAGCAGTAGCACTCAGCCCCCTAACCGAGCAATCTCATTAGCATTTGTTGCTAATTCCTTAGCCTCTGTAGGGGCCAATTTAGAGCTTAGGTGCTTCTGGGGTCTAATTGATGACCCCGACTTCTTCTCGTCTAAATCCTTTAGTAGAAGAGTCACGATCACTGCTTGGATATTATCCTCGTCAGTTGGCGGGATACTAATCGGCTGTTTGCAGAACGACTAGCTCCAACAAGTTCTTGCTCCTTTGAGACCCAGCATAGGCTTGAACTCTCTAAAGCACCTATCTCTCCTCAGCTGTGAGCAGACCCAGCTTCAACGCATATTTTTGAATCTTGGGCCAGGCCGAGCAAGACAAGATAGGGTCGGTCCCGTAAACCCATATGAATTTTTCCTTCCAGTCCTTGTTCGAGCCCGGAGTGTTCGACACGACTTTGAAGCCGCATAAGTTCTAGAAGTAATAGTGTCGCTCCTTCTTCCCTGTCTTGACCCTAAGGAGGTGACCGAGTGTAGCAGAGTTGAATCGACTTCGACCTAGTAGCAGATGATCAAATGTGGCGACAGAATTTGGCTTGATTTGCAATGGAGACACCCCCAGAGTCTGGAAGACGCGGTGGAGGAAGGGATAGAGCCGCAGTTGGAGTCCGTACTCTAGGTGCTTCAAATAGATGTAAGACATCCTGCGCGCTATGTGATCATACATAGTCTGGCTCATCTCTCGACATTGGCAAAGTGAGAGCTCGAGGAAGTTCGTAGCGGTTTATAGTAGGCCTTGAATGCCATAGCATAGAGCTTCGAGCGGAATGCCTGAGGAGATTAACCTTATCTCGTTATGACTGGTGATGGACGCAGCAGAAAGCATCGAAGTTTTCGAATGTTGATCGAAAATCACCTAAAGTAGGGAGCTAGGGTTTAGAATTCAGAGCTCACAGAGTTTGTAAAGAGAGCCTCTCCGCAAACAAGATTATTATATATTTATATATATATTTATATTATATATATATATATATTTATATTATATATATATATATATATATATATATATATATATATATATATATATATATATATATATATATATATATATATATAGGTCTAAATGGACAGTGTGTTCAAGATCGGAATGGTCGACTCAGTCGAAGATAGATGGTTGAGATTGACCTCAGAAGTTAAACAAACCACGCAAAAACCGAAGCGCTGTCCTTCGGTTGACAAGCCACACAGCTTGAGAAACAAGGCAACAATGGTGCATGATCTCCCGTGACGTCAGCAGATCATATCAATAGCGACCCATCACTTTCTTCTTAAGTGCATCTCGGATATCGCCAATCGATGATTGTTCAAATTTCAATCAAACTCGGCTAGCCGAGTTTGAATGAAAGAGGCCACTGTTATAGTATGCAAAGTAGTTTAAGGTTTGGTCCTATTTGGAGACGACACATGTCCCACCTCATAACAAATCAACTACATTCACAGAGGCACGACTCGGGTAGTTCCTGCAGTCGACCCAACATGCTAATAACTTGCGAAGCTGACTGGTACTTGTCGACCTACCCACAGGATCGAGACGAAAAACATCTCACTCGACCTACCACTCTAATTGAATCCACTCCCTATTGCCATTCGGCCATTCCAGTCCGACAACTTGCGAGACCGACTAAAAAGGAGGTGATTGCAAGCCTTCAACGAGACAAGTCGGGTGGCGGTCCCCCCCCCCCCCGCCGACAGTCGATTGTCATCACCTTAAATGCGTGGTTAGAGTCATCATTGCTCTAGCCCCAATAGTCTTTATAACTCATTGGACCTCGTCAGCACTATGCGCCTCCTGTCAGCCTCACATTAAACGCCTGGGTGACTTGACCCCTTCAGCAGCCGTCACCTGTAAAGTAGATGATGACTAGGTCACCGGAATAATGCGGCCAAAGTTACCTATCTGCCCTTCTAACCTACTATAAAAGGTAACTGTCTAGGGGAAGGGAAAGGGCTCCTAAGCAATTCTAAACAACTTTGGGAAGGGGCTCCTAAGCAATTTTGAACATATTTCTTTACTTTATCTCTTACTTCTCCACTTAAGCTAAAATACTGACTTGATCGTTGGAGGAACCACCAGAGATTCCAACTTCGGCCTCTCACGAGCTCTTCATGTGCAGGATAGAACATTTGGCATAGGAACCAGCCATTTGAGGAAGCTTGAAGACCCTAACACCCACGTAATCTACAGATAAACTCCATGTTCGATAACTTACATCAACAAGTTTAGTTAACATGAAACTCAATCTACGTACATGAACATCAGTTTACTTAACAATTAACTTTTTACTTCTTTTTGTAGAAATTCTTCAAAAAATTTAAACTCCAATCACTCACTTACACGTATTAGACATTCTTCCAATTAACTGTAAATTACATCAATAGAACATTTTTAGTTTTTCATATTACAATGAAGTTAGCATATACTTTTATAAATTAACAAGTAACATTTACTTCTTTCTAGGCTTGGAAACATCCTGTACTGATCTTCTTTTATTGCCTATTCCTAGTAGTTCACTATTTGCATGTCCAAAAGGGCCTTCGATGCTTCCTCCGTGCTTCCATTCCCAGAGGATCGACAAGATTCACCGTTGCTAGAAGAGACAGGGCCGTCATCACTCGAAGAGGTAGTGTGATCATCACCAACTTCACCGCTTCGCTTATGAATTGCGACAGGTGACACAGATTTTGCTTCATTTTTATGTTTAGACCGTCTTTCATGGCCGCCACCGTCTTGCCCTTGCCATTCACGGTGATGGACGACTTCGAAATCGTGATCAAATACTTCCTTAGATGCTATTTTCACCTAAGTTGAAATTCGAGAGGGAGATTTGTAATTTGGGATTTTTTGGTTCCTATTAACAGTTGAAGAGAGAGGGAGATAGTACTTGAAATGTGGGGAGGGGCGTGGTTACCAATTTCGGGAGTGTCATGTCATGAGGGTATGGAAGTAATTTTAAGTGAGCTTTTTCTCTAATTGCTTACTTAGCAGTCTATTTGGAGCATTGACACAAATACTGTTAGTATTTGGGGCTGAAACACAAGACTCAAAATACAGAGGGGCTGTTCACATGAGCTAATTTAAATTAGGGCATTGACACAAAATTTCCTTGTAAGAATAAGGGGAAAAAAATCTTCGACTTAAGTTATTTACTTTTGAAGAAGTAGCAACAGTTCAAAGAAAAAAAATTCAATAAAATTTAATTTTTTAATAAAAGTAATATTAATTTTAAAAAGCACAACCATAAAAATAAAAAAAGAAATTCATAAAGAACAAAAAAAATATAGAGCAAAAATAAAAGAAACTCCATCAAATCAACCCATGCCAGCACAGGGCGTAACGCTGGTACCTCATTAAACAAAATTAATTACATTCTAAGATCCCATGAACGAGCTCATTGCCCTTCTCTGAGAGATTGAACCTGAGCCGGTTTCCATTTTCGGATCCTGAAACCCGACCCGAACCCGACCCGAGAGGAAAAGACAATAAAAACCCCAACACTAAAAAAACCGCAGCTAACCCCCCAATTCCCACTTCTTTTTAATGGCGGATTCAAAACCCTAACCCTAAAAAGGTAACGAAAAACCCCCAGAACCCTAACATCTCCCCGATGGAGGAAGATGATCCCTCCTCAACCTTAGCCCACAAAGCCCAGCACCTCCAAACCCTAATCTCCCCTCTCTCATCATCAACCTCGAAGCTCTCGGGCAAGTCGAGGACCATACCGTCCAACAAAGATTTTCATTTCTATAACAGTTTTCGCGAATTCAAGCTCCCCAATAGAGAAATCTCAGCAAAGGTTCAATCTTCTCTTGATTCTCTGTCCTCTTCTTCGAATCTATTCGGCGAGAAAAAGCAGCCGCCGTTACCCGACGATCTCGACGATTCCTACGACTGGCTGGTGAATCTCAACGATGATTTTATTGAGAAGTTTAATATTTCTCTTGACGAATTTAAGCGGCAGAGGGAGAAGGAAGAGGGAAAGGTGGGTAACTTAGGGCTGGAAGAAGGTGGGTTTCAGTTGGTTAATAGAAATAAGAAGAAAAAGGGGAATTTGATGGATGAATTTGGGAAACATGAGAGCTTGGGATCTTCGTCTGGGATTAAGGTTGGTTTGAAGGACAGAAAGGCAGTGGGTGGGAAATCGAAGGTGCCATTTCATATACCAACGATTAGGCGGCCGCAGGATGAGTTCAATATATTGGTGAACAATGTCAATAAGCCCTTTGAGCATGTTTGGTTGGAGAGAAGCGAGGACGGGAACCGCGTTATTCATCCATTGGTTTGTCTTCTTTCTTCATTTTGATGTTTATAGAAAGATCAAATCATGTGCGGTTTGGTGCTTGTTTATATTCTTTTCATTCTGTCTGTTAAATGTGGCATGTATAAATATGAATGATTTCTTTTTAGAAGTTTATATTTATTGTTCTGATGTTCCAAAGCAATGCAAGTTAGTAGGAATATTATTCTTGTGACAATTTGATGAGTCTGCAGTGGGACTTAAATTGGTTTCTTGCATGTAGTCTCTATTCCTTTGGCTTTCACTCCTAGTGATGCCTTTTTAATTGCTTGACTAGCTTCACAATCGTTTCTACTATTGATACTGTGAAACTATGGTTTGCTCCTTTTAGTTCATCAGTTCATGCAATATTTGATATCAGATTACGGGATTAAAGGTTTTACCGTTTTAGAGAATTCTTTAACGGGGGTTTCTTGTGCTAAATAATATGTCCACATACTTTAATCTGTTCAAGTGTTCGCGGTTTTTTATGGGCTTAAACTAGTGCTGGTGTGTTTCAACGTTGATCGATTGGAAGCATTAGAATAAAATATGGGTCTAGTCTGAAAATTGGAGTGAAGTGAAGGGAAACAAATGAATTTATGGAATATTGTAAAGCAAAATCCATTATGCATCCTCTAGGCCAATGCATTATCATATTATACGGCACGTAATAAAATTATGAGGTAGCACACAGAGAGAGGGAGAGGGTGGGGGGGGGGGG